GGAGGAGGAATACCTGAGCCCAGCAGGTTGAGGCTATGTTGGTTGTGAGCATGCTACTGCACTTCAGCCTGGGCAATGGAGTGAGACTCCAATTCAAAAAAAAAAAGGGAGAGCTGCTTGCTATGTAAAACCTTAGGAGTATGCTAAACATAAATCAGGAAGTGGAGGATGAGGGCTTATTTTGCCTGTAGCTTTTTTTTTTTAATTTTAATTTTTTGAGTTGGATTCTCACTCTGTCGCCCAGACTGGAGTGCAGTGGCACGCTCCTAGCCACCGCAGCCTCGACCTGCTGGGCTCTGGCGATCCTTCCGCCTCAGCCTTCCAGTAGCCGGAACTACAGGTGCATGCTACCATGCCCAGCTAATTTTTGACTTATTGTAGAGACAAGGTCTCGCCAAGTTGCCCAGGTGGATCTCGAACCCCAGGCTCAGGCAGTTCATTCACCTCGGCCTCTCAAAGTGCTGGGATTACAGGCTGAGCCACCAAGTCCCAGCCTTTTTTTTTTTTTTTAGGAGACAGGGTCTCACCGCAGCCTTCACCCCTTGGGCTCAAGCGATCTTCCCACCTCAGTCTCCTGAGTAGCTGGGACTATAGGTGCAAACCACTGTGTATGGCTAGTTTTTTAATTTTATGGAGACAGTGTCTCTCTGTATTGCCCATGCTGGTCTTGAACTGGGTTCAAGTAGTTCTCTGGCCTCGGCTCCAAAAGTGCTGGGATTACAGGTGTGAGCCACTGTGCCAGCCATTGCCTGTAGTCTTTAATCTACAAGAAGATGTCTTGTGTAGCAGCAATTCATGCATTCAATTGATAAGCACCAATTTTTCAGGATTATGTCTTACATAAAGTGAAAGACGCCACCCTAACCCCTTTCTATTAATGTTGTCATTTCTCAGCCTCATTCTGTTTTTCCATGTGTTGCTGAATTGGCTACTTTAGTTCCAGCTGGGCAGATGGTGAGGGTGGGAAGCATGGAGAGAGGATACCTTAGGCAGAGGAAGGATTCGTAGAAGCTTACAGGGGCTTTTCAGACAGGCTGTCCCTGCCCCATGGACAGGAAGTACCAGTAAGATGATGGGTGTCTGTGCACCCTTAAGTATATTTGTTCTCTGCAGGCAAAGGATAAGGACCGTTGGATCAGGCTCTTCTCCCAGTTCTGTAACAAAACGGCCAATGAAGAGGAGGAAATAGTCCATAAACTCCTGGGGGACAAGTTCAAGGTAAGTTTCTCCCATGATCTATCTCCTTCTCCTGCCCTCAGATAGCTTAAGATGTCTCTGGCTAACTGTGGGGAGCTCCACATTTGATCCCTTCCCAGCTACAGGAAAAGGTTGGAACCTGGGCTCAGAAATCAATTCAGAGGACTTACATTCCTGCCACTGTTGAACTGTATGACCTAATGTGGATCTACATTGGGGCGGTGGGGCGGTGACAGAGGAAGGAGTGGTTGGATACCTTGCCCTGAAAGTGCTCTTTATACTGGTATGGGAAGGCAGGGCTCCCACTGCAGGAGAGCAGTGGGCAAGTCAGGTAGAATGGAGAAACTGCCCGTATTTTGAGTGCTTTTCCTAACTGAGTGCACACTTACTGAGGCCAGCAGACTTCACGTGGGAGCTGGTGGGGTAGAGGCAGGTGTGTGAAAGGAATGCATCCAGAGTGGGCCTTCCTGCATTGAATCTAGAGCAAAGGTGGGGGAGAGCCCAGCTGGTTTGGAGGTCGGGTTGAGGGTGGTGAGGGCAGACATTCTAAGCCAGGCTTGGTTGGTGCAAGTGCTGGACAATGGGGAGAAATTTGGGGCTTGCTACCCTGAGTTGGAGCAGGCCAGCAGACTGCCAGAGCTCTTTGGAGACAGAACTCTGTGGCCTTCCTTTGCCCCAGGAAAGCTCAGCCGACAGAGCTGGCCCTTTTTCCTTCTTCCCCTGGTCTTCTGGGCCCTGCCTGTGTGCTAATGGGAAATCCCCAGGGATGCAAGTCTGTTCTTGCTTCCCCTAAACCAGGGCCAACTGGAACTTCTGCGGAGACTCTTCACAGAGGCCCTTTATGAGGAAACCCTCAGCCAGGTGAGTGTGGGGATGGTGGGATCAGTGGCCTCCTTGTTACTCCAGTTTTCTAGAGCAACCAGGTCAGCATCTCATACTGAGTCAGCTGAGTCAAAGCTGACTTGGTCTACTGGAATTGGAATGGGCCTGACTCACAGAAGACTTCCTGAACAGAGAGTCAAATCAGGATGAAAAGCAGGTGACTATAACTGGAGTGGTCATCTCCTTTCTTTCTCCTCAACAGTGGTTCACTCCAGAAGGATTCCGGTCTCTCTTTGCTCTTGTTGGGACCAATGGCCAAGGAATTGGGACCAGGTTAGGAGAGAATATTCTATGGCTATTGAACTCAGGAGTGAGAGATTGATTGCATCTACCTTCAAGACTCGGGTGGGGTGGGGGTGTGACTTTGAACTGGACACAGTGGTGGGGAGTCAGAAGGAATGAGTCTGTGGAATCTGTTCTTGGGATTCTTGGTCTGTTGGGGAAGATGGGCTTCTTCCAACCAGAAATGGGGTGTGGGTGGGAGACCCTTCTTCCTGCGCTTAACTTGCCTGGAGGTGGGGAACTCTGTGACCTGGGCTTCCTCCTAACCATTGGCTGTCTGGGACCCTCAGCTCTCTGAGCCAGTGGGTCCATGCCTGTGATGCTCTGGAGCTGAAGCCTCAGGACCGCGAGCAGCTGGATGCCTTCATTGACCAGCTGTACAAGGACATCGAGGCAGGTTGGTGAGATGGGCTTTGGCCTCACCTAGCCTTGGAGACCTTCCAGTCAGATGGCGAACAGAGTCTTTCCCCAGGGGGCTCTGAGTTTATGGTGGGGAAGGTAATCCCTGTGTGCCTGAGGGGAGCTTTAGATCTGTCCACAGGGCATGCAGGAGAGAAATGGCCCAAGATCCATCCAGAGGCTCAATACTTGAGAGGAGGGAGAGTGGTAAACAGGGTGATGTTGTAGACATAAAAGCAAAGCTGTGCTTCAGAGAGACAAGTTTAGGTAAAATGTTAGGGACTGGGTGCATGAGTGTGGTGGGGTGGTAGGACCATGGAGCTAGTGTCTGCTTTTGAAAGCCTAGTTTCCTTTTCCCTTTGTAAAATGGTAGAATAACATCTGCATATTATTGTCCTACAGCAACCGGCGAGTTTCTTAACTGTGAAGGATCTGGCCTCTTTGTGCTTCAGAGCTGCTGTGAGTCACGGCATTGAGGAGGGATGGTCCCAGGTGTCTCTGCCTTTGCCAGGTGGCCTCACAGTCACAGTTCGTCTTTCTCAGTTGGCCATCTCTAGGCTGGTAGGGTTGATTCTGGGAGCTGGGTTGGTTTGAGCTTCAGCAGGAATTCCCTGGGCCTTTTGGTTCCGTCACTTTTTCATTTATTCATCCACTCCTGCTTTAATATGTACTCATCTGTAAAACCTTGCAGCAGGCCGGGCCCTGTGCTAAAGCAGGCACAGAGCTCAGATTCTTGGAAAGGGAAGCATAAGCTTTGTACCATCACCACCCTTGAGACTTGGGAAGGGAGTATTGGGAGAGACTGGGAGGCCCTCATGATCCTGGGAAGAGGGACCAGACTAGAAGGTGAGTCTCATCAGCACCTGAAGGGGAGGGACAGAGCGAGCTCAGATACTGCCTTTTCCAGATCTCAGCCTCCCACCCTCTGGTTTCCTCACTGCAAACCCCTCCTCCCAGGCTCCAAGACCACTCTATCCCTCCCAAATTCGTTCTCAGAAGACCTGTCAGCCATTACCAGATGTCCATTAGCAGAGAGAACAGAGTTATGTGGTCTGGTGTGGGCATCCCTTCAGAGCCTGCCCCTCCCTTTGTGAGACAGCGGGAGCGCAACCGAGAACGAAGTTGGCCAGTCAGGGGAGGTTGGAGTGACGTGGGCAAGCATTTGTGTCTGTGCTATGTGGCTTCAGGAAAGCATGCCGGATGGGGAGTTGAAAAGCTTGGGTTCTAGTACCTGCTCAGCCTGGCAGGGATTGGGGAGTGAGAAAGGATGGGACTAGTCAATAATTCTTACTACCTGCCTCTTGTGACCCAGGCAACCACAGCTGTGTACCCAATGCAGAGACCTCCTTTCCGGAAAACAACTTCCTTTTGCACGTCACTGCTCTGGAAGATATTAAGCCAGGAGAGGTGAGGGGGGCCAGGAGCCATGGAGGGTGGGTAAGCAGTGGGCCTTGGATGTTCTCTCCAGGGATTGGAAGCGGTGTGGCTAAAGTTTCTTAAAGTTCAGACTGCTGGGTTAAATCCCCACATGTCCCAGGGTTTGAGTCTTGTAGCCCATGGATATGTTCTAACCCCACCCCACTTCTTAAAAATATTCTGGAAAGCTTCAGAGCAGTGTTTGAGGGCCAACTGTATGCTCAGGTTCTTGTCCCCAGGTACCTTTTGGTCAGCATAGCTGCAGTTTCTAAGAAATTTGGAGATTGCTCTTTGTGGCTTGGGCCATGTGTGACTACTGTGGGTCTAGGGTCTTGGCTGTTAGTGTGGCGCACAGAGCCTGGTTGCATCTTCTTCCAGGGCAAGTCACATCACACCAGGATAACCTCTGATCCCAGCCAGACTTTGGTCACTGACTAGCTTTCACCATAGTCTGAGGCAACCTGCAGTCTCTTCTCTGTTTCAGACACAGGTTGTTGGAACTTTATGGCTGAAGGCACAGGGGACTGGATCAGGACAGTCCTACCCTTTGCTGAAGGGCAGCTCAGGCCTGGCTCCTGGAGATGGGGCAGGTGTTAGGAAGGCCCTTATCCCATTTAATAGAGTATAGAGCATCAAACCCCACCTCTCTTCTGCCTTACAGGAAATTTGTATCAGCTACTTAGACTGCTGTCAGCGAGAACGCAGCCGCCACAGCCGCCACAAGATCCTCAGGTGCCAACTGGGGACACGGTTGGGCAGCTGGACTCTGGGGTCCTCAATCCCAGTGGGCTGCCTGACTTTTTACCTTTACCATCCCCCCACTCCTGTAGGGAGAATTATCTGTTTGTGTGTTCCTGTCCCAAATGCCTGGCAGAGGCTGATCAACCCAATGTGACCTCAGAGGAGGAGGAGGAAGAAGAGGAGGAGGAAGGAGAGCCAGAAGATGCGGAGCTGGGGGATGAGATGACTGATGTGTGATGTTGCTGTGCCCAGAGGGGGCCTTGCCCCAGACCCTGCCAGAAAATGGGGCCCTTCCCCCAGAGAAGAGGCTTGGAAGGAGCTCCCCAGCCCCATTACCTGCTTTCCCCCCATTCCAGCCCTCTCTGCCCGAGGGTAGGACAAGGCTGGACCAGGCCCCACTCCATCCAGACCTCATGCCCTGGACACTGCTGCTGAGTTGGCAGCCTCTGCGCTGTCACGGAGCCTTTCAGAACTGGTCTTTCCTTGAGGCTCCTCCACTGGACAGTTTGAGGGGCTAGAACCAGGGTCAGGGCCTAACAGTCTCTCTTCCCCTTGGCCCCATGGCCTATGCTCACCCATCCACCTGAGGCTTCTCCCTTGCTAGGGATTTATTTGGAGGGGGTAACTCAGAACAGACTGCCTTCAATGAAGCAGAAAGGGGAGGTGATGAGGCACCCTCCACCTTCTTCCTTGCTGCCTCCTCCACAGCTCTAGCTGATAAGGCCACTGCTTGAGCGTAGCCCAGAGGGGGCAGGCAGGAGGGTGTGGGCCTTCTGAGCATCTTCCCTGAGGCTCTGCTGGATCTAGAGGATAGATTCCTCCCTTCACCCCCACCCATTTTGACTTCTGGGAAGTGGAGGTTAACCCCTTCCCCGACTCCAGAATCTCTGTACCTTGTGCCTTGCCCCTCGGACCCAGGCACAGTGGCTGGCCCCACAGGGTATGGGAGGGGCCTCTGCCTTCCTCAGAGCAGCATGTGGGGATCCACCCTTCCTCACACCTTCTTCCCAGGGAGGACTTTAGCAGCATGGCTATGACCTGGGGGTTGATAGGCCTGTGCTCCTTAATTTCAGGTGCTCTGGTTCTCCCTAGGGCCAGCTAAAGTGGGTCAGTGATGGGCTCTCTGACCTCAATCTCCATCTTTAGGATTTTCACAGAGAAATACTGAAGTCTTCCAGAAACCTAGAGGAACTGAGCTGGATACTTGGAGAGTAGCCCAGCCTTGTGGGAATTACAGCCTTCACTCCCAATGCCTCCCTTTCCTGGAGGGGCCGCCACATTCCCCTCGGAGGGATCCCAGGAAGGGCAGGTGCTCACCCCAGGCCGTTTTCTGGACCATGGAGCCAGATGGCACCTGCCTGTCTGGCCCCCTCGCCCATTGGATTCTTATTCCTTCACAGCAGCCATCACCCCTCTCCTGCTCCCACTTGCCCACTGTTCTCAGTAAAATGTGAGTGGTGACAGGCCTTTGCAGAAATGCTTTGTGGGGAGTGGCTGGATAGGCTGCCAGGGCATGCAGCAGTTGTGTAAGTGGGTGCACAGACAAAACAGGCAGTGCTGGAAGATGGGAGTCCTAGCCTTCCTGGCTTGGGCTTATCTCTCCTGTTATCTACACCCTGCTGTGCAAATGTTTTAAAGCCAAGAGCTAAGGTCCTCTGAGGCTGTTTGAGTCCCCAGTTCTAGGCTACAGGTTGAATCTGGGCGGGTGGGGTGGGTGAACTGGGACTTCCTCAGCTCTTGAGCAGGAGGCTGTGTTGGGATCCAAGATTAGCAGTCTGAGCACTGGTCCTAAAGGACTACGGGCAAGTCACTGTCCTTGATGGGCCTCAAAATGACAGTGTGGGGCCAGATGAGGGAGTTTGGAGGTCCCTCCCACCCTTGTGTGCTCTTACTCTAGGACACAGTTGCAACCCTGATGAGAAGCTTTATTGCTAAAAAGTCAGTGAGGATTTATTGAGTCCCCAAACACCAGTTCTTTAAACCACTCTGACAACTGCTGTGAAGGTCATTGTGAGGAGACCCTGGGTAGGGGAGGCTGGAGCCAAGTGGGATATGACAGGTCACAGATGGCTCTCAGGCTGCCTACCTTTAGTTCCTTTTGTTCCAGATTCTAGCCAGAAGCCCTAGGCCTGTCTCTTGTAGCATGAGACACCCTTAGAGGCCCTGGGGAAGGGAAGGGAAGGCCAGTGGTGTGGCTTCCCTCCCTAAGCCTAACCAAGGCCCAAATCCTTTTCCTTTGCCTGGCTCCACTTGTCCCCAGATGCTATCCCCAAATTCCAAATAGTAAAATTCCTCCTTGGTTTCCCCTTTCCAGCCCAGAGTCACTTATGGCTGGAATGTGGGACCAATTCTTCTACCAGAAGGTCCAGGGTGGTTGCAGCAGCTCAAAGGTGGGGATGCTGGTGACATTGACTGGGATGGAAATGATGGCCCATGGCAGCCCATGCTGTTCCAGGGAGCGGCGGATCATGTAGCTGGGAGGGCATGAAGAGGTGGCTATGGTCACTTTCTCGGCACCCCATCATGCCCCACTGTCCCCATCACTCTGGGAGTTCCAAAGCCCGAGACCTTTTTTTGCCCTCCAACTGAGGTACCCCAAGACGAGGCCTGTGGGAAGGGACTGGAGATAACCCTTGACCTCCCAAGTCATGGCACCCAGCCTGGTGCTGATTCAGCCAGAGACAAGAAGCCCTCACCCATCTCGGCCGAGCAGGAAGAGGGCAGGGATGTCAGCTGTGCGCTGGGTACTGTCCTGGATCATCTCCACGTAGAAACTGTCATTGTCAACTGCGTTGTCAGAGATGATCACTGCCCGGCCGCCATGCTCCTGGACTACCCGGGTCTTGGAGAGGAAGGAGCAGCCCCTGGAAAAGGTGGTAGTGAGACCAAATGAAAGGCAGGTCCTAGCTACCCATTCCCCAGACCATCACCCCTGGAGCATGAAAGGAAGATGGCCAAGAATTTGATATAAGGGCTCATAAGTAAATAGCCAAAAATGTGGTTTATCTAAAGCCATTTCTTTTTTTCTTTTTTTTTTTTTGAGTAGGAATCTCACTCTGTCGCCAGGCTGGAGTGCAGTGGTACACTCATGGCCATCGCAGTCTCACCCTGCTAGGTTCAGGTAGTCCTTCTGCCTCAGCCTTCCAAGTAGCTGGAACCACAGGCACACACCATCATGCCTGGCAAATTTTTTTTATTTATTGTAGAGACAAAGTCTTGCCATGTTGCCCAGACTGGTCTCAAACTCCTGGGCTCAGGCAATCCTCTCACTTCCACCTCCCAAAGTGCTAGGATTACAGGCGTGAGCCACAGCACTCAGCCTAAGGCCATTTCTCAAAAGACACCCTTAAAAAGATACATTTTTCTAAAACAGCTATTTCAAAGCACTACCACCAACAGGAAATCTTCCCTATGTCTGTCTCATCTCATGCCCGTGTCTGCCCCCTCCTTACCCTCTTTCCACCAGAGCAATCTGGTCCTGGATGAAGAAACCGTTGCTGAGTTCCCCACAGGCTTCTGGAGGTTCAGCGGGGACAAGGTGAATCTGCTCATACCTTGTGTGCTGTAAAACATTCAGACGGTTGGACAGGCGACAGTGTAAGGAGAGTGCCTGCTTTAGGACTGGGCTGACAATCCCATCTTACTGGCACCTTCTAAAGTGGGAAGGAGACCTGGAATGGTTTCTGTGCTGTCAGGCACGTGAGCATTTTTACTGAATTCTCACTAAGGCCTGTATTCTTGTCCTACCCGACCTGTCCTTCCATGAGATAGGTAGGGGAGGTGATTTAGTAGACTCAGAGGGGAGAACGTGACTTGTCTTAGGTCACATAGTTTAGAGGTAGAGCTGGCAGAGGAAGTTACTCCCTTAGTTTTTCATTATTGCATGTCCCCAAAGAAGACAACTTGTTCCTCCATGGGGCTCAGGTCTACAGTATACCCAGGGGAGGAGCTGGGTGTGCCTCCTTTCAGCACTATAGCTTGTGAAGGGCAGAGCTGGATTTTGCTCTCTTCCCTGTCCCAGCACTCAAGTATGATGAAAGGGTCACTGTAGCTCAGTGAGGGGAAGGGGGATGCCGAGGTCAGGGTCCTCCCTGAACTTACAAAGATACCACCAAAGTCCTTGGCAGGTGTGGCAGTGAAGATGTATCGGATGTCCCCAGGACTCAACACTTGAAAGTACAGATAATCATGGATGCGAAACCCTGAAGGAGAAAGAGTAAAGGTGAGAAGCATCCTGGGAACAACTGGTTCAGACTCAGATCACAGATCCTGTGTCTTCAACGACTGGCTACAGCCTGGGTCCAGGGGCTCAGCTTCAACCAACTGGGTTTCCCAGTGGGTGGGATAGATGGTCTCTGCCCTGGTGAGGATAGAGTTGATGCAGACAGAGTTAATAACCCCAGAAGTTTTTATCAGCTGCTACTTATGCATCAGGAAGACAGAGCTCCAGAGTTAATTCATTTTGCTCTGAAGACCTGGGAGTTTCAGGATAGAGATGTAGTGGCCTGAGTACAAAACAGTTCTTCGAACTTAAAAGTTGACTCTGGTTCCACTGCCATCCTTTTAGTCCAGTCACTGTCATCTCTTGTCCTAACTGTTCAGTTTTATTTTGTTTTGTTTTTTGGAGTTGAGGTCTTACTCTGTTGCCCAGACTGGAGTGCAGTGGCAGGATCACAGCTCACCACAGCCTTGAACTTCTGGGCTCAAGGGATCCTCCCATTTCAGCCTCCTAAGTTGCTAGGACTACAGGCATGCGCTACCATGCCTGGCTGATTTTTTGTAGAGACGTCTTGGTATGTTGCCTAGGTTGATCTCAAACAGTCCTTGCACTTCAGCTTTCCAAAGTGCTGGGATTACAGGTGTAAGTCATCATACCCAGCTTGTTCAGCTTCTTAACTGATCCACCTGTCACCATTCTTGCTACTTAAGGTCCATTCCCCAAATGATCAGAAATCTAAAATCTTAGCAATTTTGATCACATAACCATGACCAGGCCTTTAATACCCGTCAATGACTTCCCTTTGCACTTAAAATCTAAACTTTTTAACTGTGGCTGATGAGGCCCTGCTTGCTCTGGCCCCTGGCTATTACTTCAATCTCATCTCCTCCTTCCTGTGTTCAAGATACCCTGGTCTCCTTTTAGTTTCTTCACTGAGTTTTCCTGCAAGCTGTTCCTTCTACCTGGAAGACTTCCTTCCTCCCACCTTACCCTACCTCTATCTTTTTACCTGGCTCACTCCTAGTCATCCTTCAGGACATAGCTTAAATCACTCAGAGAAAACTTCTGCCTCATGATTGCCCTCCCCTATACCCATTCAAAGGTACTTTTTAAAAATGGATGCTTTTAATATAGTTTGAATTATACAGAGTTTTTAAATGTCTGTCTCTCCCACTAGGGGATGAAGTTTGTAGCTTCATTCAATGTTGAATCCCCAGTGCCTAGCATAGTGGCTACAATATAGTGGATGCACAATAAAAGTTGTTGAGTGAACAACTACGTGCAGCTGCATAGCACTGAAGAAGAGAATTGCCAGAACTAGATTTTTCTGGAATATGGGAACTTCTCTCCAGCACCAAAGTTTAATGTTTTACCTGGACTTGAGTCCCTGGTTTCCTTAGCCAAGAGAAACTGAGGAATGTTGAAGGATGAAAATTGCTGCCAAAGGTCTATTTCCATTAGTCAATCAACAAACTACCAAGCCACTACTCTGTGTCAGGGTTGGGGCTGATTGTGGCTTTAGCTATCCTTGCTTACTGCCCAAATCGCAATCATTCTTAGACTTCCAATGGCTTGGAAATGGGCTACAGCATTTTGTCCTGGAGTGGAGATTCCCTATCAAATATATCGCCTGAACGTCTTCCTGGATTAGTGTTAAACTCCCCCCTCCTTCCCCCACACACCCTTGCTTGCCTTTGCATGTGTTTATCTGTGTATATCGTGGGTACATGTGCTCACATACGTGTATAAATGTATGTATACGTTTATGTGCTCATGTAGGTGCAAACGTGTTGTATGTATGTGTTTGTGCGTGTGAGCCCACATGTAGGAATGTGTGCTCTTGTATATGTATGTGAAGGCTCACATACATATCTGCACCTTGTGGTATCTTTAGTTGTCCCTTGTGCCTCCTCCTTGTCGCGCCCTAAGTCACCTGGACCGGCGCTAGTGGGCGGGAAGGGAGAAGGTTGGGGTAGACCTGCTTTGACGTGGGAAGCTGAAGACTCGGGGCCCAGCTCATGTCCCTGATGACCACCAACCACTCACTCCAGCTGCCCGTCCCCAAACATGACCCCCTCCGAACTTGCGGGGTTCCCAAGGTGACCCGTGGCCCCCAGCCCGAAACGCGTACCAGCTGGACGGCGAGCCCCGCCCGTTGCCGCTTACCGTGGGCCGCGACGCACGCGGGGAGCCAAAGCACAAGACACCACCAGCCCGCGGCGCCGGGGACCATCTCCAGGGCACTGCCCGGTCCGGCGCCGCGTTTCTTCCCACCGTCCCGCCGCGCGCCGATCGCCGGACTTTAGCCTGACAGCTGCTCCGGCCTCCCGCCCACAGGCCGGCTCTCGCCGCCGGTTGGATGACAGGAACGAGGCTCACGGCTGATTGGCCCTGACGCCTGCTCATGTAGCCACACTTTCCGCCTCTGCGCCTTAGCCCACTTCCTATTAGTCGAGAGAAGTGGGGCCGAGGGCTGATTGGCCTAAACTCACAGCAGCTACTGCCGGTCCTCGCTCTGCTCCGCCCCAGCATTTCTCAGTTTGGATTCGACTCCAGGATCTCGCCGGCGGTGGGCGGGCCGGGGAGGACCCAGAACTGGAGGTGGGCCTTCAGCTCTTGCCGACTCGGTCGTATCCTCTCCAAGGGGGCCTCGCTTGTCGACGACTTGCCTTCTCCCAGCTGCGCTTCCTCCTCCTCGCCCCCTTCCCGGGAAGGCATTCCTCTGGCGCCCAGGCGGTTCTCAGCCCAGTGTCACCAGCGCTCGCGCGCCCGCTGTGGGTAGGCGCTGGGGCTGCGGCCCATGGACCCCATCCTCGAGGAGGCCCTCCAGTGCAAAGCCAGAAAGCGGGCATTGAGGCCAGCTTCCCACGCCCGCTTCGCTACCACTTACTGTGCGACTGTGGACACCTTGCTAATCTGGTAGCCTCAGTTCCCTCATCAGTAAAATGGGCAAAGTAATAGTACCAACGCAAATAGGGTTGTGAGGATTAAATGAAATCACTCACGTGGAGTGCTTAACACAAGCCTGGCCCATAGTCGGCGTTCAATAAATCTTTGCCTTTATTGCGTTCTTTGGTCTGGAGTCCGGGGATAGATGAGGATAGAGTCAAGGTTAGCAGGAGACGCCAGCTGAGCAACGACCCTGTATGCGCAAACCAAATGCGGCAACCCCTCCATAAAGAACGCCTCTCGCTAGAAACCCCCAACAGGAGGCCCAGCCTCTGGCCCTTCTAGCCAGAGCGACTCTATGGTAGCAAACCATAGAGTAGCGGAAGTGACCCTTCCCCTTCCTCTCGTGGTTCAGCGGCTTGGTGAAGCTTCTGGGCAGTTCTCCGGCGCAGGGCATTGTGGGTTGCTGGTCGGCCGGGGCACGAAGAGAAGAGGAGTGGCGGGTCACTGAATAAGCGTTCAAAATGATGGTGAGTGGCGGCTCGCGCATCCGTCGCCATCCGCTGCCCTCGGGCCAGTGGCTGGCGCCGCCCGGCTGAGGGCCGCCCCGTACGACCTTCCCTTGCCTACCGCCTATCTTCTCCCCGGCCCCCAGCCTATGGGCGACCCCAGCCCGCAGCGGCCTGGCCTGGCCCGAGCACGGAGCAGGAGCCGATGGCGAGGGCTCTGGGGCTTGAGGGGAAACGCCGGTCGGGCCGACTGGGGATTACAAGTCCCAGGGTGCTTCGGCACTGCGAACCGTCTTCGGGGACCCCTTTTCTAGCTCTCCTGTGTGAAACCAATGCGGATCGAGCGTGCTTACGCGTTCGGCAGCCAGACTTTGGAAGCCCAGGCAGTCCTGGGGACTGCGGGCTGTGAAGACGTCGCTTTCTAGAACGGGCTGAGGCAGCATGGGACCTTAAGTTGTGCCGCGCCCTGGGACTCACTGTGGTCGCTTGCTGTCCCCAGCCCTTCCCCGTTGCTTGCAGAGAAGCAGACACTTCTGCTAGTACTATTAATTCGCTCAGCGATTAAATAAACGCATCTTTAAAGCCCAGTGAGTATAACAGGCCCTGCTGGTTTCGGGAGTGCAGCCTCAGCCAGGAGAATGGGCAGCGCGGGTGGGGACACAGCATCAGAATTGGGAAGAAAAATGGGCTGTGACTTCGGTGACATTAGACAGGCATTTCTAGTTGGCTACCTAACCCTGGGTCACATTTTCTTAAAATTGGGGAAGGAGGGTCGCTGTGAATTCTGGAGGCTCCTAAGGGCTCGCTGTAACCCTGCTTAGCCCCCCAGCCCTTTTCTCTTTCTCCGAGCTGCAGATACTTGCTGTGGGTTCCAGGTCTCGTGGTATCTCGTGGGTTACTGTTGAACAAGGCCAGCTTCTAAGAAGGTGTTTGATGGCAAAACCCTGACTAAGATACGGCTTTCTGTGCACTTGGCTATTCATTCATTCCTTTTGGCCTCTCAGTCCAGCTCAGTCCTCTGTTCTTTTCCTGCTTCCCTCAGCTTCTCCCTGTCCTGGTAGATGGCATACTGTTCCTTCTGCTACCAAATACCCTGTGAATTCAGCTTCTACCCAAGGTAGAAGGCACTTGGCGTTTATCTTTATATCTCTTTTTGGTGTGTGTGTGTGTGTGTGTGTGTGTGTGTGTGTGTGTGTTTTGAGTTGGAGTCTCACTCTATCTCTTTTTGTTGTGTGTGTGTGTGTGTGTGTGTGTGTGTGTGTGTTTTGAGTTGGAGTCTCACTCTATCACCCAGGTTGGAGTGCAGTGGCACATTCACAGCCACCCAGAGTCGGCCTGCTGGGCTCCGCCAATCCTTTCACTTCAGTTTTCCAAGTAGTTGGAACTACGGGCGTGTGCTACCAGGCCCGGCTAATTTTTAAAAATTTATTGTAGGGATGAGGTCTCGCTAAGTTGCCGGGGCTGGTCTTGAACCCGAGGACGCAGGCAATCCACTCACTTGGCCCTCCCAAAGTGCTGGGATTACAGGCTAAGCCACTGAACCTGGCCCCTGTCTCTAGCGCTGCGCTTTTTGGTCCATCTTCAACATTACTTCCTCGAGAATTCCTCTTTATCTTCCTTGCAGAGGCAGCATAGTATAGCAGTTGAGAGTAAGGGCTCCAGAGCCACAGTGCATGCCTAGATTTGTAACAACTCTGCCACTTAACTAGCTGTGTGACTTTGAGCATGTTGTTTAATTCCTGGTTCTCAATCTGTTAGAGGGAATAGCAGTAAATAAAGTATTGTTGGATAGGATTAAATGAATTAATACCTGCCTTGTGCCTATTCTATAGTAAGCACTTAGCAATTGTGAGCTCTTACTCTCCCGGGCTGTTGCTTGCTTCCTTCATCCTTGTAATCCATCCTGTCACCAATGCTTCCATGAGAACTTGGGTTGACATTCAGGGGACTAGGGACCAGAATCGAGATTCTGAGCAGAGATAAAACCCTTCGTCCTGGTCACCATGCACTGAGTATACAATGGGTCGATACTGGAAGAAGAAAAAAACCCTTCACCAAGGTGCTCCAGACCACCACACTTGGGTTTTCCCTGAACTAAACCCTGCTCTGTGGGAGTGACTATTTCCCTGCTGTTTTGGCTCTTTAATATCTCTTCCCCCTTTTAGAATATGAAACTGATATCCCCATGAGTCCTATCATCAAATTGATCCTTGATATTGTAGAAGCATTCTGTGATTGAAAGATTGAAAAGGTGCTCTGAAACTCAGTCCTGTGTGTTTAGTACAGCTTGTACAGAATGTAAGTCGTTGCCTTTGTGGTGTCGAGCACTATGTGCCTTGGCATATCCACACCTGGTCTTGTTTAGAACCCATCAAGCTTAGTAATTCTTAGTAAAGTTTTAAAGTAGGACGAAGAAGATCATTAAGTTGAAATTCTGAAGCCTTCCTTGATACCCTTGGCAGATTACTGGATTCTGCTATTGTTTCTTTATTAGAGAAATAAAAATGAGTAAGGTTGAAAGTAACTTAGGGATTGAAGCTGGGCTTTCCATAGTAATGGTTGCTGCTGGGGACCTTGTAAAAGAAAACCCATCCTGTTGAGCTCTGCCGCCTTTCCCACCCCAGGGGATCTCTCCTCTGTCCAGCCTGCCATTTCTGCAGGGCCTACAAAGCATGGGGAACCTGTGTTAACTGGGGAACATGGGGAACCATACATGGTTAAGCCCTCAGATGTAGTGTCACCATATTACAAGTGCTTTTCTCAAAGTCAAGATTCTAGTGTAGTGCTGTCCTATTTCATGGTTTATATCAAGCACTTTCAATTAACAGTTGAATTTTCAGCACCAAAAGCTGCTGAATATTAGCTTCATGTGTGGCCAAATCCTGGCACTCTACAATTAAGGTTACTGTGATTTTTGGTTTGGGAAAATTCATACTTAAAAGATGGATAGTGATATAAAGATTGAGAGCAAGCGGACGTGAGGCGAAAGTTATGGAATCCCCTGTTTAAGGATGCCCCTGTTTATGGCTGTAGAGAAAACTTCTTGGAAGAATTAGAGCTCCGAGGAACTGCTGGCCTTGTAAGAAAGTCATTTTGGTAGAAAATGGCAGGGTGGCTCTTACAGGTGGGGGTCCAGTTTGCAGGTAGAGATGAGAAAAGGTTTACAAAAGCATTGGGTAAGTTAGTCTGTTGGAGAGGTGAAAACCTGTTGATGGTGAAGGGGTTGAGACTGCGTTGAGTTTTTAAATTTAAAATGTAAGACTGGATCCAGGGCACGGGGGAGACCAGAGGAGACTTGAAGCTGCCATAAGGAATGCTTTAGCAGGACTGGGATATGGTAGGACCGTTCAGGAAACACATCTTTCCCTTACAGAAATCACCAGGGACTGGGCTAGCTGAAGGGCCTGACACAATGCTGGGAGTGTAGAGAAGCCACCAGACTTGGAATACTCCGGCCGGCAAAAGGAAGAAATTTTCCCTTCAGTCCATGCTTGATCCCAAATGTAGTAGTTTATGACAAGCCTTCTTTATTTTACTATTTTTTTGAGTCAGGGTCTCTCGCCCAGGCTGGAGTGCGATGGTATGATCATGGCTACTGCAGCCTCAACCTGTTGGACTCAGGTGACCCTTCTGTCTCAATCTCCTGAGTAACTGGGACTACAGGCATGCACCACTGTGCTGGCTTAATTTTATTTTATTTTATTGTAGAGATGAGGTCTCACCATGTTGCCCAGGCTGGTCTTGGGCTTAGGCAATCCTTCTGCCTTGGCCTCCTAAATTGTTGGGATTACAGGCATGAGCCACTGCACCTGGCATCGTAGTTCCCAGCAGCCTTAAACTCCTGGGTTCAAGTGGTCCTCCTGGCTCAGCCTCCTGAGTAGCTGGGGCTACATTAGCTGGGATGTGCTACTAGGCCCTGTTAATTTTTTTTACTTTTTGTAGAGACTTGGTTCTACT